GGGTGAGCACACTCACCAGTCTCCCTCTGAGAAAGGAGGAAATAAGTAACAAGGACCCCGAGGTTGCCTGGAGAATATAGGGGCAGGTAAAGATCACGTCCTGTTCGACAAGTCACCTGACAACAAACAGTGAAGACACCCAGCCATTTTGGTTATTCTCCACTAGGAGCCTACACAACTCTCTGGTGTGCACATGCGTGTGAGTGGCGTGCACACACACGGAGATCTCAGACTACCGAGACAGACGATCCAGCGCACAATGACTAGTGAATGACAGTGTGTTTTCAAGCCGGGAGGAAATGACAAATAACAAAGCTGCCATCTCTGCCATCTCAGCCTTCCAGCTCAGTGGCCAGGAAACCAGGGGCTACTGCTGAGATGCAATAATTAAGAAACAGGAACTGAGTGAACTCAGTCAAAGCCGGAGACGCGATGCAGCAGCAAGCTGGAATCCACGTTCCCAAACACTTGCTCCTTCTACTGGAAGGACAGCAACTTGTACCAGCCAAACCTCGAGTTCCAGACTCGCAGATCCTGCCATTTTTCTTTTTAAAAAGCTGTAAAAATTAATTTGTCTATGAATCTCCTGTATCTTAAAATATGCAAGTTAATCAAGTTTCTTTAAAAAAAAAAAATCAGACACACAGTTCAAACTAGAGATGCTTACAGGATATTTAAAGAAGCAACGTTAGCACAAACCAAGAATAGGATCGCTCGGTTTCTCATTTCTTATCCACCTTCACTCCCCTCAATATGCAAATTACCAAATGCTACACTAGTCAATGGACTCTGTGTAGTGGGCTATAGAGCACGGGTAAAGGCTGACACTCGTGGTGGAAAAGAAAGAACCGTCAACAGCTGGCTTGGTTAGACGGCTGGGCCAAACTGAGTATTTTGTAAATTATTGGTAAAGAATAAGTCTCGCATCTTCAAACATGTCAAATCAGGGTTCTTTTCCTGATCCCCATCCCATGCTTTTTAATCTTGCTATGTAGCCCAGGCTGGCCTCAAATGTTACTCTCCCCTATTCAACATCCTAAAGGATAGGATTATAGGCAGGGGCCGCCACACCTGCGTCTTTTCTTCGACAACTATTAAAATGGACTTGAGATGCCCAGTTTCATACATCAATGGTGGCTAACAGCTCTCAGGGCCACAGCTCTGGTCACAAGGTCTACCATATTCAATCAAACAGACGCATGAACCTCAAAAAAAAAAAAAAAAGAATATAAGCTAAAGTGACAATCACGTCCATTGAAAACTGCCAGACAATTTTCAGCTTCCACACAAAGTAGACTGATTACTTCCTTCAAAAGACAACATCCTGCTTCAGTCTAGGCAACGTGTGATTTCAATCAAGGCAGCATCCTATTTCAATCAAAGTCAAGAAGTTTAAGAGATGAATCAACTCTACAAAATTCAACCTACATCTCTAGATACTTCCTTTATCCAGACTGTATTAGATACTCTTTGTTAATCATAATCTTCCAGTCTGGGTTTTCTTTCTGCACTATAGGAAGATACGTAATCTTTTTTAAACAGTGATTTCCAATGCCGCTGGCTGGTGCATGTTCACTTTGGAAGGTCTGATAATAGAGCAGGTTAATACATTTTACCAGACACACTCAATGGTTGTGAAGGTTTGACTGAAAATGGCCCCCACAAAGGGAGTGGCACTACTAGGAGGTATGGCCTTGCTGGCATAGGTGTGGTCTTGTTGGTGGAAGTGTGCCACTGAGGAAGTGGGCTTTGAGGTCTCACATATACTCAAGATACTGTCCGGTGTCTCAGTTCACTTCCTGAAGACGTAGAATTCTCCAGCACCATGTCTGCCTGCACACGGCGTATTCCCAGTCACCATGATAACAGACTAAACCTCTGAAACCGTAAGCTACCACCTCAATTAAATGTTTTCCTTTTTAATAGTTGCCATGGTCATTGTGTCTCTTCACAGCAATAGAAACCCTAACTAACACAATGGTCTATTCTGGCTTACAGCTAAAGGCAAAAATTCCTAATACTCATCATTCTCTACCTCAAGTCCTTTATATTTTATGGGTTAACTAATTCTGATATCAATTTGGAATGGAGCCAGCTTTAACTCCTAGCTCAGCTCAAAATAAATAATTGTGAAGAACAAATGATATAAAAAGACAGATTCATTGGAATTTATGTTTTAAAAAAAATGTTCCAAGTCATTCAGTTTCCAAATCAAATAATTTTACTACATAATATTAAAAAATGGGAAATGAGAAGAAACTATAAGAACTGATTTTTCAATCCAGCCTTTAGAATTCTAGTCTAAGCAATGCTAATGGCAGTAGGGATAATGAGGATCTACCCACTTAGTCCATAAGCACCCGCAACAGCAGCAAGCGTTCAGCATTAGCCATGAGATGCACATATTCATACGCCCCCAATCAAACCCAGCTGAAAACAAAATACCAAGAAGACTCTGTAACAGTGATGGGTTGGTGGCAAATACCTGTAATCTAGTACTCAGATAGGGGAAGAGGAGAGTTAGGAGTTCAAGGCCAGCCTCAGCTGCATAGTGAGTTCAAGGGCAGCTCAGTCTAAATGAGACTCTATCTAAAAATCAAATCAAAACCAAGACACCCATAAAAGATCAACTGGCAAAAAAAAAAAAAAAAAAAAAAAAAAAAGATCAACTGGCCTAAATAAAATACCCAAAAGACTTGCTGGTCTTAGAATCCTATAATAAACTAAATAGGCCCTCCATTTATCCCCAGTGTTGATATTAATAGAAAATAATCACTCCTAAAACAAGGCGGATGGATGGGTAAAGCACTTGCTGGGGAACCTGCACAAATCTGGAAAGAGAAAGCCAACTGCACAAAGCAGTCATCTGATCTCAACGGGAGCACCATGGCATATGCCTGCACAGATATCGCACCTACATGTGCGCACACACACTCATGCACACACACACACACACACAGTTACTATTACACAAACGATTTATAGCAACTTTGTTGCTTTCAGAGAACCTACAGAGGCGTGAATCTAGAGTACTCTGCTGAGTTCAGGTAACTCATTCACATATGGCTGACATTTTGTTCAGATGCTATGGAAGGGATGCAGAGAAAAATAAAGGACGTAAAACTGGAAGGGGAAAGATTGCTAATGCCCAGGATGCTAGGGAATAAGAGTATGTTAATTCCTCTCATGTCTACGTAACTGACGAAACTCACACAGCATTTGACAAGGAGAAGATACTTACAGCCCACAGGGAAATCTGATTTCCAAAAAGAAAGGACAATAGCAATAATGGACTTTTCTCCCTTTCTACCACGTTTCCTTGATGGTGTAAATTCTAAGGTATAAGTCTGTATATATGAAGAATAAAAACAAGCTTTACATGAATAATGTTACTGTATTTATTTTGCATATTTCAAGTATCAAATAGTCCTATAAAGACGTGTTTTTTCTAATAAAAAATAAATTACCTTCAAAATGACAATATACCTCCTACACTGACTGCTCATGAAGCCATACCTAGAGTAATCAATTTAGTATTGAGGAGTAAATGTCAAATTTACATTCTTCTCTACCAACAAAGTTATGCTCTTATACAACATTCTGGTCTTCCTTTAGAAATAAAACCTGCTGGGTTTTGCTTTGGGTTTTACAATACAGGTTAACTATTTTCTTTTACTCCTTCTGGAGCAGGAATTAAGCAGTCTATCAGTTCTTATCTTGACAATGCCTGTATGGCTAGCTTTTACTGTGCAGGAAGGCACTATACAGGCCGCTGAGGGCAAAAAGTCACCAACACTTTTACCCAGCTGTGGACCCTACACTGGAGCACCATTGGCAGGATCACTATGGAGGTAACCACCCACTTACTGATTGGATTTGAAGCCCTGCTCCATGGGAAGGAATTAACACTTGGTATTTAAAAAAAAAAAAATCAAAAATCAAAAACAAAAACAAAAAAAACCCTGATTTAATAGATAAATGAATAAAAAGCCCATGACACGCGTGGAGAAGCGACCGCTGTCTTGGTAAATGCCAGACCCATCCCCTGTCCTCTGCTCTGCGTGCTTATGCCCTAGGGCAGTGCTGCTCCCGGCTTAGGTCAGAAAAGCATCTCTCTCAGCGGCTGATGATCACTGCAAAGACTTGCAACTGCTCAAAGTGCTGAGAAAAAAGTGAGCACTGAATGCTCTGCCGCAAACAGGACAGCTTACCAACCCCTCCAAGGCCCAGGGAGCATCATCACAGAAGAGAGACTAGGAGCCAGAGGAAGGGGGCGGTGCAGTCGTCCGGGTATGGCATGGCTGCTGCACTCGGAAGCTCACGACAGCTATGATTCCTGCCTAGGACTGGGCACAACACACTGCATCACAGATGAAGGTTTATGCAGGCAGACAAAGATCACTGTGGGGAGGTCAGGACTCCCCACTCCACCCTGAGAAACTGTCGGGAGTTGATCATGGCTGGAGCAGAGGGAAACATTTTTTCTGTAATGGAACCACTGAAAGGTGCAACGATCCTATAAATAGCTCTTACCAATGCTTCGATGAGCAAACCTAATGAAACTCTTTGTGTCACACAGAGAGAGAGAGAGAGAGAGAGAGAGAGAGAGAGAGAGAGAGAGAGAGATGAAAGCAGAAGGTGCTGTTTGTGAAGAGGAGTCAGTAGGAATGGGAAGAAGTAAGGAAGGATTATGCATTATATACATGTATGAAAATGTCTTCATGAGACCCGTTATTACATTAAATTAATATATGCTAATAAAAGAAAAATACTGATGTATGAAATTCTCAAAGTTACAAACAATTCATATAAATATTAAAAGTAAAACAAAAATAAATAGAACAGGATATCAAAACTCAATTTAAAATGGGATTTTTTTTTAAAAAAAATAAAAGATAATGTTCTGAGCTCTTATTAATGGAACTCTGGAGACAGTGACAA